TTGGTGGATGTTTGATAAGGATGCAGTTATTCAGGCAAACACACAAATTTGAATTTGAGCGTGAATCTAATAGAGTCTGACTTCATTTTTGATGTGTGGCTGTTGACAGCTTTCAAACTTCCCCGATCTCTCTTCCCATTCTGCCCCACATCCGGGCAAGCTGATGAGAAGTCCAGGTCCCCTTCTTGGTGCTGGCGGGAAGTTCAAATCACACTCAGACAAGGGAACCCTTGCCCCAGCCCTACTCCCTAACCACCACGTCACCCCAAGCCAGTCGCCCCTCCTGCTCTCTCAAGCTGAGTTCACACTTGCTCTGCCCAGAAAGGCTCACTCTGTGAGTCACAAGTCATTTCACATCCCTGTAGTGCATGTGACGTGTCCGTCTCGACCTCTGAACCAAATTTTGAGAGAAGGGTCTCCGTGAAGAAACACAACAATAAAAAACGGTTGCCGTCACGTCAGCTCCAGCTCCCAGTGACTTCCGCACTGGCTTCGTTTGTGCTACGTCAAGAAAATCCTCATTTGTGAAATTAAGGAACTGCCCATGATGGAAGTTTTCTTTCCATCACGTTATCTTGCAACCTCGGGACACTTTGATTCGTGGATTCAGAAGCTTAAAAGCAAAACAGAAGCGTATTTTTGTTTCAAACACGAATTCCACATCATATCAACTGCTTGCATTCCTAAACTTAAAAATAAATGCCAGGAAAAAGCGCCTGGAACTGACAGTCGGGGGCCAGAGTTATCCGTAATGTGGTTTCACTGTGTTGCACTAGGTCACACGTTCATTTGTTTTTGCACAATTTTACACTTGAGGAACCTGAGAGTTTATTTTGCTCTGACAAGAATGTGAACTGGGCAGGTAATGCCTGGTCCTCGCCCACAACTGACTGGCTGGGATGGACATGTGACACGCAGCATAGATGTGCAGAAAATTCTACATGAGCTGAGAATCAGGCTCTAAATTTAGAAAAAGATGACTGGTGACCTTCTGGTGACATATTTATAAGAAACTCAAGGACTGCATTTCCTCGAATCTAAAGCACACCATTAAAAACAAAACAGAAGAAAAACACTGCCAATTAAGACGAAGTCTTTCTCATCACTTAGAATTTTTCTCATAAAAATGTTATATGTTGGGCCGGCCCGGTGGCACCACGGTTAAGTTCGCACGTTCCACTTTGGTGGCCCGGGGTTCACCAGTTCGGATCCCGGGTGCAGACATGGCACCGCTTGGCACGCCATGCTGTGGTAGGCATCCCACATAGACAGTAGAGGATGATGGGCACAGATGTTAGCTCAGGGCCGATCTTCTTCAGCAAAAAGAAGAGGATTGGCAGCAGATGTTAGCTCAGGGCTAATCTTCCTCAAAAAAAAAAAAAGTTACATGTCATAATTTTTAAAAAGCTCTCTCTTACCTACCTATCACTCTCTGTTCACATAAAGAGGAAAATATAAGAGAACTACATTGGTTAAGACAGTCTTCAAATTTCTTCACGTTCAAAGTCCTGCTCTCCTGAATCACTTTTCCACTCAGAGTCGACAACGTCCGAGGCAGCATTTCTTAAAAGGATGCTCTGCCTTTGTCTCCAGGGTATTCTTCCTACTTCTGACACCTCGTCTGCAAGTTTTGATACTGGTACTTTCTTGATTTTATAAGAATATGTCAAAGAAAAGGACTCTTCAGACCCCAACTTATGGTCCAATGGTTTGTTGTCTAAAACATCAAGAGGGCAGCTGTCTGATCAGGTTATCAGGAGTAACAACCAAGTTTGAGCACACACAGACAATGACAACTTCAGTACCACTGCCATCTGGCTGGCAGTGACGGTGAAAGGCCAACAATCGTAAGACACACTCTCATCTCAAAGATGTGAAGATGTGAAAAAAACGTGCATGGCAAAACTGGAGAACTAAGGTAAATGCAATAGAAATGTCAGGAGAGGCTGGTACAAAAAGAATTTAGCTGGTATAGAACAGGATGTTTTGTGTTTTAGTATTGTTATTTGCTTAAAAAGTTGTTCATGGAAACTCAGTCAGATATTTGCAGATTCCTGAAGCTTTTCTAGAAGGTACGTTCCTAGCAAACCCCAAATCCAGGCTCACTTAAATCCAGAACCCAAGGCCCCGCACCTTCTGTTCCCCGCCGGTGTCACCAGCTTGTGCTCTGGCCACCCTCCCACCTTCCTTCTGTGCCGCAGCTTTTTGAAGATACTGTAGCTCCCTAAACGGGCCATCTTTAGACTCCCCTGTCCCAGTCAGTCCAAGCTGCCACAACCAAGTCATAGACTGTGGCTTATAAGCAACAGAAATTTATTTCTCAAGCTTCTGGAGGCTGGAAGCCCGAGATCAGGGTACCAGCACGGCCGAGCTCTGGTGAGAACCCACGCCCAGGCTGCGGACTGCGGACTTCCCACTGTATCCTCACTCGGTGGACAGCAGAGGAAGCTAGCTCTCTCATGACTCTTCTAAGGGTACCAATCCCATTCATGAGGTCTCCACCTCGTGACCTTATAGAATCCTAATTACCTCCCCCAAACCCTACCTCCTAATACCACCACATGGGGAGGTAGGGTTTCAACATACGAATTGGGGGGGAGAGGACATGAACATATAGTCCATAACACACCTCTTTGCATTTACAACTGCTGTTCCATCCACTGGTATGCCATTTTCCATGTTTTCCTACTGGTAAATTCCTACTTAGCCCAAATGTCACCTCCTCCAGGAAGCCTCCTTAGATTTCTCTAGGTTCCTGTAGCTTTTTGGCACATTGTGTTGAGAGTATGTTTGTGGGTGTCCTTCCTCCCTTATACTATGAACTCTCGGGAGGCAGATGCCTTGTCTCATTGTGTATTGTGTAACTTCAATGCCCTCACTGGTGCCTGGAATAGCAGGTTCTCATCCAATGCCTGCCAGAGAAATGAATGAATGAAAAGTTATCACTGTGTGATGTTATTTGAAAAGTACTGGAAAAGCCCTACCTCCTGCTTTCCAGCATTTTCCCAATGGACACTTGCAAGAGTCCAACTGCTGAAATGAAAATGCCCTTAGTCATACTTCAAGTTTCCTAGCAAATGAGCAGGGATTAATTAATCATATCAGAATCTAACCATGGCAGCTGGCTGAGAATACTCTCACCCAAAACTGAGCACAAGAGAAAGAACAGGACAGCAGAAGAGGCTACTCAGAGAGAGAGAACAGAGAGTCACCCCATCCAGGAAGATGTCTCCATCCACCCCCTAGTCTGAATTAGGTGCCTTCGTCCTACAAAACTCAGAGTCCTCCCCCCGCCATCCCTCTGTTATTATTGACTTTTCATGTATCTCTCTCCCCCACCAGACCCTGAACTCTGAGGGACAGGTGTCCGGATCATCACTATATCCCCAATAGTCACCACAATGCCCAGCACACACTGGGCGCTCATTAGAAATTTGGAGAATAAACAAAATTGAATTCAGAACCCACATTCATGTCTGAGGAATGTGATAGTGGTTCAATATGTTACCGACCCTGAAGTGGGTTCGCTCACCCGTTGGCCAGCAAGCCAATCTCTGACACCGCGTGTGGTGGAAGAAAGTAGGTATTTTATTTTTGCACAGTGCTGAGCAAGGAGAGAGGGTAGCTAACACTGAAATCCCAAACTCCCCGAAAAGCTAAAAGGAAGGGTTTTTGTTTGGGGTTTTAGGTAGGGGAGGGGGAGCATATGGCCTTGCTGGTAGGAGCTTTCCCACCAGCCTGTCTTTGGCCTTGAGACATTTGCAGAGAGAAGGAAGCCCGTGACCTTGCTGGTCAGCAGCTTTCGCACCGGCCCATATCTCTTTGCGGGAGGAGATAGTCCAGGTGCTTGTCCTTGACGGTGTCTGTCTCCATGGAGGATAGTGGATTCTGGAGCCAGGAAGCCAGAGAGTAAGCAGGGAATGAGTGTTTTGGTTTTAACCCCATATATGCTGGGTTTAATGTGGGGAAACTGATATCAGGGTCGATATCAAATACAGTGCCTGACAACGTCCCAGATGGCCAGACAGGTGGACAGACAGATATGTACACACCTCTGGCATCACTCCTTCTCCAGCCCCAAGGTGACAATGGGCAAAGGGGAGGGAGGTGTGTAGACCATCAAGCACACAATGTCTTCGCATCAAGCCCGTATCAAGATATCTGATTAGGAAACAGTGGTTGAGTCAGCAAGAAAAGAATAATAATAAAGTCCCAACATACGTTACTTGACACAGCAAGTACCTACACATGATTTACTCAACTTCTGCAGCCATGTGAAGCATATGTGAGCAATTAGGTGAATCCACTAGAAGGCAGCCTTCGCCAGGAGCCCAGGCCATACAGTGCTGATCTGCTATTGACATCACGGGTGAGCCAGGCAGCCTGCCGACCCCCTTTCCTGCATGAAGGTACCTAATCCTGTGGAGTGTGAATTGTTATGTTCGTTTCATAGCACCTAGCAGAACACCTGGCACACAGTAGGTAATCAATAAATATTTGTTAAGTGTTGGAGTGATGAATGACTAAGACCTAGAGACGTTAAATAATTTGTTCATGGTCTTTGATAAGAAGTCGATCCATGGGGCTGGCCCGGTGGTGCAGCGGTTAAGTGCGCACGTTCCGCTTCAGCAGCCCAGGGTTTGCTGGTTCGGATCCCAGGTGCGGACATGGCACCGCTCATCAAGCCATGCTGAGGCAACGTCCCACATATAAAGTAGAGGAAGATGGGCACAGATGTTAGCTCAGGGCCAGTCTTCCTCAGCAAAAAGAGGAGGATTGGCAGCAGATGTTAGCTCAGGGCTAATCTTCCTCAAAAAAAAAAAAAAAAAAAAAAGGAAGTTGATCCAGAATTGAAGCTCAGATCTCTGGAATTCTAAGGGCAGAAAGGTTCCTGCCCTGAAAGCATGAAATTGCCCTTCAGTGATTATCAGTCCCAAGACAGTAGAGCATTGTCTTAATATTCAACCCATCTCTCTCTCTCTCTCTCTCTCTCCCTCCAGCTTCTTGATTCACTCTGTGAAGATAGGCAGGAGCTATTTTACCATGCTGAGGGAGGAGAGTGCAATGAAAAAGAAGCAACAACAACTTCAGAAACTGCAAGAGGAAGAAAAGCATAAATTCACACCAGCCAAAAAGATCTCGGAAGTCCAGTACGGGGACATTCTTTTGACGTAAGTAGACACAGTTGCTGTGGCCCTAACTGTCTTGGGAAGGACCAGCGAGAGTGAACGCTGCCTGGTTGGGTTGGGGGATGGCAGCTATCAAAGAGTGGGGGCCCATCCTTAGACTGGTGTCTAATGACTTCTTTTAGTCTGGTCCAACCCACCTCTCCACCCTCACCTTCTGGCGCTCAGGGGACTATCTTCTACTGTATGTCTGTCCTCATATCCGATGCCAAAAGCTACACGAGAAATCTTGCTGGTCCCCAAATGTGCCTCTTGCCCTCTCCTTCCCCAGCTTGTCTCTACCTCTAGGCCTTTTCCTATGCGGTTCCTTAGGCCTTAAATACTCTTCCCCACATCCTCTTCCAACTACAGTTCTACTTATCCAAAGCCCAGCTTAAATGCCACCCTCTCCTGGTTTCCTGGATTTCAGCCCAACCACCTCCAGAACCCATTTGGACTCTGGGTCCCCATAATGTGTTTGTTTGCTAGTTTGCTTTATTCCACATCAATATCTCTTGTTCTAGACCAACACCTGAAACCCCAGATCCTAGCTCGGGGTCCACCGAAAGCAAGTGGACAAAAAATATTTGTTGGTTTGTTGAATAAAGTAGCCCCCCTCTTTTTGTAAAGGTCTTTCCTCTAGTTAGGACAGGACCATCAACAGACTGGTCCAGTATTAAATGTCCGTTCATTTAACAATAACACTAATAATGACCACAACAATAATTTATAATGAGTGTCTACTATGTGCTATGTGCACATCTCTTCATCTAAATTTCCAAGCATCCCTGTGAGATAGGCCCTATAATTAGCCCCATTTTAGAGGTTAGGAACAGAGGCTTAGAGACGCTCACATAATCCCCCTTGTGACTAAGGTCATCAGTTAGGAAGCATCCCTGAGTCCCAAACTCAATGACACCAAATGCATGGACTGTGCCACTTTGCATGGACAAAATCCTGGGGTACTTAGCTTCTGCAGACTGAATGAGGCACAAACCAGGGGTGGAAAGGAGGCGCTGAAGCAGGTAGAGAGGAAAGATATGGTGGAAATGGCCATTGTCCTGGCAGAGCAGTGGTCTCAGCCCTGGCAACACATTAGACTCACCTGGGCTGTTTGTGAAACACCATTCCCCAAGAAACTTCCAAGACCAATTACATCTGACTCTCTGGGCGTGTTATGTGGACATGGTATTTTTCAAAGCTCGCCTAGATGATTCCAATGTGAAGCCAAGGTCAAGAGCCAAGTTAGCTTCAGGACCCCAACTGCCAGGGTGCCACTAAAGAGAAAATGCAACCCACAGCAGTTGCTTCCTTTCCTCTGCACCATTTTTCACATTCTGTTCTTCACATGTTAATTTAAAGAAATAGGAATATGTGCTTCCTAAAAACAAGGATCTCATCAATGCAGTTATACAATATGTGACCTTTTTGTGTCTGTCTTCTTTCACTTACCATAATATTTTTGAGGTTCATCCTAGGCAAAAAGCAGATTGGTGGTTACCAGGGCCTGAGGGAGGGTCAACCGGGGAGTGATGCTTAATGGGTACGGGGTCTCCTTCAGGGGGATAAAAATATTTTGGAACTAGATGAAGGTAACGGTTGTGCCACCATTAATTCCAATGCCATTGAATTGCATCCTTTAAAACAGTTAATTTTATATTGTGTGAATTTCATTTTAATGAAAAAGAGGATTCTGGTCTTTGAAGCCCTGGGGTCGGGGTGATGGGGCTGGACACTAATGGTCGGGGATCTCCTTAAAGTTCAAGGCGACAGATGGGAACCCAGAGTGCAAGACCGTGAGGGGGCTGGTATGTTTCCAGTTACTCTCCCCTGAAAGTGTGGCCTTTGGAAATCCCATCTTGTTACAGGAAGGGTCTCCTCTTTGAGTCCTCTTAAGTGCAAACCCTGGGCTGTGGTTTCTGTCCCACTTCCTTGCCTGTAAAGCTATTAGGAGGAAAATTAACCTTTTCTAAGTTGGCACATGTCCTTACGACCAAAGCAACACCCTTACCTCTCCGGTTCCAGTCTCTCTTGAGTTTGGGTCTAGAGATTCCCACATTGTTGTCAGCTCTCTGCCACTCTTATTGTTTTTTTTAATGACTTACAATCCCCACTTCATGTCTTCTAAGGAGAGGGCACCCCGAGGAGGAGCCTTTTTTGGTGAGCAGGGAGTATTCAAATGAATGTGCAAACACAGGGGGAGAGAAAAAGTACTTCACCTAAGAGAGAGGATGGAGTCAAGCAGAAGACGGGCCGAGAGTGTGTGTCAAAAGGACGTTTGGAGGAGAGAAGAGAGAAAAGGCAACCATTGCTGGGAGAGAACAGAGAGGTCTAACGGAAATGTTTGTGAAGTTTTGCCTCATAGCGTGAGATGTAAACCCATTTCTCTGTTCCCCACAAGATCTTCAGTAAAATATCAGTGGCCCCATAAACATCATTACGGTCTTGGAACTTTATCTTGGCCAGTTTCAAAGCAAGTTTGGGGGTGAGGAAGAGAAGCTATCTGACCCCAGATGTGTGGGAGTTTTTTCCCACACCAAGCAATTCTCTGTGACACCAGCTGGGTGTCCTACCATCCAATGCAGATCTGACACTTTCTACCAGGAGGTAGCATCAGATCCCACAGGTTAAGGGCTCAGTCTCCCAAGACTGCTCCCACATCAGATGCCAATCACAAGTCCCAGGGGGCCACCTGTACTTCTGACCGGCTAGCTACAAATCAGGGTTCCCATGACCCCTTCCTTGGGTTTGGTAATTTTCTAGAATGGCTCACAGAACTCAGAGGAACACTGACTTATGTTGTCAGTTTATCATATAGTAAAGGATACAAATGAACAGCCAGATGCAGAGGTACATAGAGCGGGGTCTGGAAGGTCCCAGGCACAGGAACATCTGTCCCCATGGAACTGGGGAGTGCCACCTCCCTGTTCTGTGGATGTGTTCACCAACCCAGCAGGTCCCTGAACCCCATACTGTTGGGATCTTTATGGAGGTTTCATCACGTAGACATGATCGATCATTAACTCAATCTCCAGCCCCTCTCCCTTCCCGAAGGATGGGGGTGGGGCTGAAAGTTACAAGCTTCTAAATCATGGCTTGGTCTTTCTGGTGACCAGCCCCCATTCTGCAGCTGTCCAGGAGCCCACCCAGAGTCGCCTAATGAGAACAAAAGATGCTCCTATCACCCAGGAAATTCTATGGGATTTAGGAGCTCTGTGTCAGGAGCCAGGAACAGAGAAGAATATATATTTTTCTTATTATTTCACAACTCCCATCCCCTTAAGTGTAGGTGGTGAAAAGGAATTAGGAAAGAATCCCCAGAGGTGTGACTTTGGAGCAAGATCATTAACGCTGAATGGGAGTTCATTGGGTGGCAAAAAAGAGGCACGGTTAAAAGACACATCAGTATCAGCCCACCAGAAATTCTTGCATCCAGCATTTCTGGTTAGGGACAAGGCTGAAAAAGGGGGTGTGTATTTTGCCAAAAGTAAGAAGCATTATTTTCAGAATGAAAAAAAAAAAGCAGTCAAGTCATGACCTGAGCAACCTCCATCCAACCACTCATTGGGCCACCACTGAAGTGTCCTCATGGGACACTGAAGGGGCGTGTGACACAGAGAAGGCCACTCAAGGAGCAGAGGGGTTCTTACCCTTTCTATGAGGGTCCCAAGAGCCCAGCACAAATTCCGCCTTCCCTGAGCCTGGTGGCGCTCACAGAGTCTGGTACTCCTACTGACACTAGCCAGCTGGCAGCCTTTCCCTGGAATAAAGAGAAGGAATGAACTGGCGGCTCTTTTTTGCAGGAGCTCTGCTCAGATTAACAAGCAAAGGAACAGGCACTGGGGAGGGCGGGCATGCCTGTTAAAGATCCTCCTATGACCGTTTAAATAGTTCGGTTGTAAAATTTCCCTTGTTCGGATGGGGTTTTTAATCCGTGGTCACAGAGCACAATTCTCCCCTCTCCCATCCATGTTTCAGCGTGCAAGACATGGTTTATTTAAAGTTTAATAAGTTTAAATATGCATGAGATCGCTCCTCTCATAGACGTTGGTCTGGTTACGTCTTATCTGGTGGATTCTATGAGCTGTACAAGGCTGGTTATTAAAATAAAACTGGAGGCCATTACTGCCACATAGCCATCAAATGTAGGCGGGAGGCAGGGGTTATAAAATAATTAGGAGACTGTCCACACCAGTACAGAGTGATCAAAAGCACAGGACTTGCATTCAAGTCCTGAACCCCCCATACAGCTATCTAAATTTAGGCAAGTCACTGTACCTCTCTGAGCCTCGTTTTGCTTCATTCACATGAGTGGTATCAAATTCCCAAGTTTGCTATGAGGATTAAATGAAATAATGCTTAGCACAGAGACTGGCATATGAGACATGCTCAGTAATTGCTACTATTATTATGCAATAAAGCATGATTTGAATTTGATCTCTGCGGGCCTCAATTACCTATAATCCTCAGATTTATGGCTAAAAAAAATCTTAATTTCCAGGCGGGCTAGAAAGCGTCTCACGTCTAAGAACTATGCTTCTATAAATATAATTCCAATCACAGAAGCATTGAAAATACAAGTGCTTGTTTACAATTACTTTTTTAACAAAGTATTTGATCTTGTGCATTCTAAAAGCTAAAGGGATTATTTTTTTCCCTTCTGGATCTAAGACCATAAGATAAGTTCTTTTAGACAAAAGTTTTAAGTCTGGCAAACTATGCAGGGAAAAAAATAAAATCAAGCAATTCCCCAAAGATTTCTGCCTGCGAGCAGTCTTTCCCACTGTGCTCAATGACCTCATTTTTCAGCTGCAAATTCAGCTGAAAAAGGTGGAAAAAACAACTGGCAGAATTTGTCTTATTATTGCAGTTGAGAGAAGACATAAAACCAGAGATTAAGGAGTGTAAAAACTGGGTTAATTTCTACGGATTCTAAACCACTGGGGAACGCGGCCGAACCAGGAAGACTGGGCACACCAGTCTGTTTGCTTATGGCTTCCTCAACTCTAGGGCTGAATAAAGAGCCTATGGACATGGGAATCAGGAGACCTAGACTCCAGTCCTGTTTTTCAGTTGATGCTGTGACCTCAGGATTGTCCACTAATTCCCAGGAGGAAGATGAATCCCTAAGGTGTGCCCCCACTTTGCCTCCTCTGCCCCCATCCATCTCATTCCCCACACTACGCCACCAACCTTTTCACAGCATCAATTGCTCCCAGCTTAAAACCGTCAATGGCTGCCATTCTTCATAGGCTAAGACGAAAGTCTGAGCAAGGCCACAAGGCCAGGATGAGCTAGCCCTTGGCTCGTCTGTCCAGCCCCAGCTCATGGCCTCCTCTCGCTCCCTCTGCCCTAGCCGCACTCTGCTTTCCCACCCATGACACTCTGCCCTCCACCACAGAGCCTTCCCCTCTCCAAGGACCTACTTTATTCCCATTCAACCTTCGGATTCCAGCTCAATATTTACTTTTGTTCCAGTTACTGTTGCTGTGAACAACCATTCCAAAACTCATTAACTCAAGACAGCAAACATTTATTTCGCTCACACATCTACAATTTGAGTAGGGCTCAGTGGGGAGGGATTGTCTCTGCCCCACACATCACCAGCTGAGACAGCTCAAAGGGTCCATTTCCAAGATGGCTCATTCACAAGGGCGGCGACTTGGAGCTGGCTGGTCAGCCATGAGCTCGGGGAGGGCTGAAGCCCAGCAGCTATGAGCATCTTCACAGGCTGCCAGCTTCCTCCCAGCATGGCAGCAGCTGGGTGCTAAGAGTCAGCATCCCAAGACACGGGAAGGAAAAGCTGCCAGTTCCCAAAGCCAGAAGTTGACATCACACCACTTCCTTCACATTCTATTAGCTCAGCCGCTCACAAAGCCAAGATTCCCAGAGAAGGGGCCATAGAGCCACCTCTGCACTGGAAGAGTGTCAAAGAACTTGGGGCACATGTTTCTAAATTGCCACAACGTCCCCCAGGAAGTATTCCCTGGCTCCATTTCAGCCAAATTCCCTGTTTTGGGCTGTCCAGGCCCCATCCACTCTCCCACTCAGCCTTATATGCCTGTGTGTCTGGTTAAGCCCATCTCTCCTCCTAGACGTTAAGCTTCAGACGGGAGGGGCTGGGTCCGTCTCATTCGTTGCTGCACCCACTGCTCCCAGCACAGAGATGTTCGATAAATATGGGTAGAAATGAATGAATCACGGAAACTGTCGATGATGCAATCAATGAAAGTGCTTAGACTGGGGCTCAGAAACTAAAAGGTCTTAAAGGAACACACAGGGAGTGTGAATTAGTGAGGCGGGCTGGGAGTGAGGAGTCTGGGGTTCTTGAGACTCGGGCAACCCGAATAGCGTGCACCTCATTCAAAGCAGGCAGTGATGTCCATCATGGGCCCCACCTGACTCCTGCCAGCCAGAGTCCCAGACCCTGAGTGGCCAGAGCTTCCAAGTTTTCAAAATCCAAAGCTTTTCTGTTTTTACATGAAACCTCCCAATTTAAAAAATATAGACAACTGATTCGATTATATACATACAGTAGGCTAATTATAACATGCCTCTGGGCTAGATTTGGTCACGGGCAAAAAATATATACCCTATGACTCAGGCATGCCGAAAAAAAAAAAAAGGAAACTATTTTCTATAACTGAAAAGGCTAGCTCTATGTCGATGGAGAAAAAAACTTTAAATATGGTATTAAATGTAACTTCATCTTTTCCACTTTGAAACAGTCTTTTGGGGGTAAATATGCCGTGGTTTCAAAGAAGAACTGCCTGTTCGGGCTATTTCTCCTCCTCTCTGAACATCCCCTCCTCCCCTTTACCCAGACGGCGTCTGTCATCAAAGGAAGTCTCTATGTTCTCTATGGGGCAGGGGATGGGCCTCTGGTTTTGCACAGAGGCCTGCCTGGTGGCTGCTAAGGTATGACTGGTTGTGGCTGCTCTCTGGGGACACGTTCATGCCCACTTCCAAGCGGTCTCTACAGCTGAGGGAAGCCTCCTCAAGGAAAGGATTGAAAACAGAAGCCGCTGACTCCAGGCAGTTTCTTAGCTGTGGCCACCCTACCATCTTCCCTTCTTACCATCCCATGGCTAGGACCCTGGAAGCCACCTTCCCCTCCCAAGCTGAGATTATTGCAATATTCCTAATTGACCTCCTTGCCTCTGCCCTTGCCCTCCACCCCCGCCATAGGCTATTCTCAAAACAACAGCCAGAGGGACCCCTTTCAGATACAAGTCAGATAATATCTCCTCTGAGTTCAAAGTCCTTTACTCTCATTCAGACAAAAGGCCAAAGTCCGTGCAATGGCCTGCAAGGCCCTTGTTCTCTTTCCACCTTCTTCTCCCTATTGCTCATGCCACACTTGCCTCCTTGCTGTCTCCAAAACACAATCCCACCTCAGGACATTTGCACATGTTGTTCACTCTAATCCAGAATGCTCCATCCTCAGGTATTTGAATCCTTTACACTCTGCAGATTTTTATCAAACGTCACCTTTTCAGTGATGACTTCTTTAATCACCCTATTTAAAATTGCAACTCCCAGCCCTTCAGAACCCCCTTCTCTGCTTTTTTCTCCCGGCGGCATGTTTCACTATCTAGTACAGAGTTGGTGGGTGGGGCGTGCTGGCCAAATCCAGTCCCCAGGCTGGTTTTATAAATAAAATTTTATTGGAACACTGCTATTTACATATTGTTTACATGTCCTCAATGGCTGCTTTCATGCTACTAAGTAGTTTTGACATAGACCACATGTCCCATAAAGCCATAAACATTTGTCTGGCCCTTTAAGAAAACATATCCGACCCCTAGTCTAGTGCACAAGTGTGTTACACAATCTACCTATTTATCTTGTTTATTCTCTTTGCTCCTCTGGTAGAGTATACGTTCCATGAGAGCTCTATTCACTGGCTGCCTCTAGAACCTTCATCTCACGAGCCAGAATTATTGCCTGGCACATAGTAGGTGCCCAATTATATCTGTCAATGAACCCCTGGCGAGAGAAAAATGTGTTTTAAACTGCTGCTCATGCTCACTCTGCTCCTTTCCGCCTTTCCTCCAGCACATACGATGATGATAAGACCAAGAAGATGGGTGCTGGAGTCATCCTTCGCCCATTCACCCCCGTGCACAGCTGCATCATTTCGTCCTCACTGCCTGTGGCTCACGTGTAAGTACAGCGTCACCCCTGCTTGTCTGCCTTGCCAGCTCATTGATCTAAGCCAAGGTGAAAGGACTCAACGAGCTAACGCGTCGGGAGCTGTTGAGCTGTTCCTTTGTCCTCTTGGAGGGACGTGGAGCCTGGAGCCTGCAACACTACATGGCATATAACAATAACACAGAGCAGACTCGGTGCTTCAGAGCAAAGTGGCAAATCAGCTGGGACTGAGTCATTCCATTCCTTACCAAGCCAGACGCCCTAATGTCAAATAGTTTGTAAAGCCTGATAAAATCTGTCTGCAGCCCTCCCCAAGCGTGTGTAACAACGTCTCAGCCAGGGCTCAGGGGACACGTTTTCCCCAAGACTCAGGAGCTGTTTCCCAGAGACACCCCTGCCGTCTCTGACCCGAGGCATAAACTCATCATGGCACAGTGTAACAGGATCTAATCAACCCTCCAAAGAACACTCTAGCTTTCTAAAACCTTGACGTCTTGTCGCCTCCTGTCTATTCCAAAGAATTCTAAGCCCAACTTTTTCTTTTTCGCTACTTAGCGCTTTGCAACTGGAAATTTTCAGGCAGAGAGAAAGAAGCTTTTGACTTTAGGGCAGGATTTCTCAACCTTGGCGCTATTGACATCTCGGGATGAATAATTCTTTGTTGTGAAAGACTGTCCTGTATTGTAGGGTGTTTGGCAGTATATCCATGGCCTTTACCCACTAGATGCCCCCAGTTGTGACAACCAAAAATATCTCCAGACACTGCCAAATGTCCCCTGGGGGAAAAATCATACCCAGCTCCCCACCCCGCATGCTGAGAACCACTGCTTTAGGGCAATGAAAATGGCGCTATGGATTCTAGATGTCTCTCTGCTCATTTGTTTAATAATTATTAGACCCTTCCCTATGGTGTACACAGTAATAATGGTTGCCACTGACAGCTCTGTCGGCATTGTCTCATTCAATTCTCTCAGCAGCCTGATTGTATAGGTGTATTATTATTTCCTCTCTGCAGATGAGAAAACAGAAAATCAGAGAGGTGTACTCCCCACCCAAGGTCACAGAGCACAGCATGTCGCTGCACTGGGATTTTAAGCCAAGCCTGACTTCAGAGCTTGAGCTCTCAGCCACACACTACACAGAAAGCGTATCCCAAGGCCTGACCTTTGAGGAGCTCATGACATATCTGGAAAGCCAAGTGCTGTGTACTTGAAGATTAAAATAATGCAAGAGTGAAATCATGGGACACCATGGCAGACAAAAGAAGGTCATTAAAAGAGCACTTAGCTCGTGGGTGGAAGATGCCGCCATAGCCAACACCATCATCAACATCATCATCATCATCATCATCATCATGCCCACCATGTATTTCGACACATCCCTACCCCTCCCTAATATTCCAGCTTTTGATGTCCCACTCCACACTTTCCTCCTACTTCCCTTTGATTGATATTATAATTGATTCCTTGATAGACTTATGTGTTCAGGGACATTCCAGCTGGCAGCTTGAGTCTGACGTTCTTAACATCTTGCAAAAATAGGCCTTGCAATCTCTCATGATGACCCTTGGAAACACTTGCACTTCTGCCTGTCTTTGCCATGGACAGGCCCTCGGGAACCAAACGGTGCAGATCAATGGTTCTTAGGCTTTTATTTGCATCTCATTCATCGGAGGGCTGGGGTGAGGGGGGTGCTGGGGGAATGCATATTCCTGAACCCTGCCTCAATTCATTTGGTCTGAGCAAATGGAGGATTAAAGCAACTATGGAAGTGACTGGAGAGTTTCTTGCTCGTGTTCCTTCAATGCCAGATGAGGAAACTGGAGCCCAGAGACAGGCCAGAACCTGCCAAAGTTCTTACAACCGCAATCCTGATCGCTTGACTCCTAAGTCAGATCTTTATCCTAGATTTGTTAGATAGGCTAGCATTATTATTATTATTGTCGCGGTGGTCGTTGTTATTGTCTGTTATACCCTAGACCAGGAGTCAACAATTTTTTTCTTAGAACGACAGACAGTAAATATTTTAGGCTTTGCCCACCAGGTGGTGTTTCTTGCAGCTACTTAACTTTGCCATTGCAGCATGAAAGCTACGATGAATGGAAGTGGCTGTGTTCCAGTAAAGGTTTATTTGCAGACATGGGCAGGAGGCGCCCTGGCTATGGTTTACCAACCCCTGCCCTGGACTGAAGGCTGCCCTCTCCTCTCCTTGGCTGTTAAAAGGCTCCGGCCACATTTGATGACTGTATCAAAATGGAGCTGTATTATGGACCCCCTCAAAACCAAGTAGCTTAAAACAACAACTATTTATGATTGCTCACAAGTCAACAGGTTCACCAGGAGGGTCTACTGGTCAAGGCCAGCTCAGCTAATCCTGGCTGGGCTTGTGCATGTGTGCGCACGCAGCTGGCAGGAGAGCTGGAGGTCAGCCCATCTAGGATGGCCCCACCCACAGGTCTGCTGGTTGATGGGTGACAAGAGATTCTCACATGTTGAGGTATGTGGGGTAGCTTTTCTGGCTCAAAACTGATGCAGCTTGCACTAAAGATGCCTGATTTATGGCCTATCAAACATACATTGGACGTCTGCTTTAACTGTTAAAGTAAAGAATGCATTAAACATTATCTCAAAATAAAAAGAATGCACTGTTTGAAGATAAGGACACAGATTTCCTCTCCTACACGCCAGTATTGGCAACACCTGTGATACTGCTCCTGAGGAGAAGTTCCCTTTCCTGGACATCAGGGTCATGTTGACCTGCTAATTTGAAATCAAATATTTCTTTGAAACTTTGATAAATATGTATCCTGGGTATGTTTAATGTATGTTCTTTGTTCTAGAAAGGTATAAAAGAGTGCTGAAACCATTCTCCTCTAGCACGCTTTCTTCCTTTATGGAGACTGCCTTCCTGGGTTATAATCCTCAGCTTGGCTTGAGTATAGGTCACCCTATCTCTCTTATCTATAGAATGGTTATTGGTTATTTTGTGTCAACACTGGTTATTGGCTAGAGTGACAGGAGTGACTGGGCTGTGTGTCTCTCATCACACAGCAGGCTAGCCTGGGTTGGGCCCCTTGGTGGTGGAGAAAGGTTCCAAGAACGGGAGCCTGATGACTGAAGTCTCTTAAGGCTTTTAGACTCAGAATGGACACACTGATGTTTCCACCACATTCTGTTGGCCAAAGCAAGACATCAGGCCAGCCCAGATACAAGGAATGGGGAAAAGACTCCACCTCTTGATGAGGGAGATGCAAAGTCACATTGCCAAGTGTATGGACACAAGGAGCGTGGGGAATTGGGCGTTTTTATTGGGCATTTTTTTTTAAAGATTTTATTTTTTTCCTTTTTCTCCCCAAAGCCCCCCAGTACATAGTTGTATATTCTTCGTTGTGGGTCCTTCTAGTTGTGGCATGTGGCACGCTGCCTCAGCGTGGTCTGATGAGCAGTGCCATGTCTGCACCCAGGATTCGAACCAACGAAACACTGGGCCGCCTGCAGCGGAGCGAGCGAACTTAACCACTCGGCCACGGGACCGGCCCCTATTGGGCATTTTTGTACGTAATCAATCTGCCAAAAGACATCAGGGCAGGGCCTTCCTGGTCAGTTTCCAAATTCTCAGTCATCACATCAGCCAATGTGGATCAGAGCCTGGTCAGTCCCTTCGATCCCGATGTAATTGATTCCAAAACCAGCTGAAAATACTGAATTGACTGTGAGGGGATCAATTCAATCATGTCAAAGGAGACTTGGCCTTTTTCTTTAAAAAAGGCAGGGGAGTGGGTCTCTAGGAATGAGAAACAGCCTCTCCTTTCCTCTCTGAGATGTCCTCACAGCCTTTCATGTGCGACTGTGCAGTCAGCAGTGCCTGCAACCCCACCTGTGTCCAGGTTTGCCCTTGGCAGTCAGCAGAGGGAGCCTAGAAGGGTTTTGAACGCATTTTCCGACTTCTCTTAGTAAAAGCGAAAAAGACGTCGTTTTCCTCTCAGGGACATTTACACTCAGCTGTATTCTGGTTGGTACAGCAGTTTCAACAGAGGGGGCTGTTCAGGTGTGCTGACCACCGGCTGCTGGCCCGATCTCTGAGCACAAGGATTTTAGAAGCAGGACTTGTGCGCCTGCTTCAGCATTTCCATCTATTATGCCCTGCATTTGAGAAATAAATGCTTTCTCTTTGAATTTGATCAAATCAAGATACTGTGCTGTGACCTGACGTACAAACATGATGAGAAAGGACTGATTTCTATCAAGCATGTTTTGGGGACTTACTTTCTTTTATTTTTCAGTTTATCTCACTGCACATTAGCAATCGTTGGGTTTGAGGGGCTTCTTTCTTCATTAAGACTTTATTTTTTTCAGAGCAGTTTTAGGTTCAGAGCAAAATTGAGCAAAAGGTGCAGAAACTCCCACATACCCTCGGCCTCCGCACGCCTCCCCCACCCTCAACATCCCCCACCAGAGTGGGACATTTGCTACAATTGGTGAACCTACACCGACCTGTCATCCTCCTCCAAACTCCCTCGTTTGCCCTCGGTTCTCTCTTGGGGGTGTACATCCTATGCTTTTAGACAAATGTACAATGATGTGTATCCACTATTGAGTAAAATACGGAGTATTTCCACTGCCCTAAAAATCCTCTGTGACCCACCTGTTTATCCCTCTCGCTCTCCCCATCCCCTGGCAACCCCTTTTACTTTCTCCATAGTGTTGCCTTTTCCAGAGTGTCATATAATTGGAATCATACAGTGTGCAGCCTTTTCAGATTGGTTTCTTTCACTTCGTAATATGCATTAGAGCTTCCTCCATGCCTTTTCATGGCTGGATCGCTCATTTCTTTTTAGTGCTGAATAACATTCCATTGTCTGGATGTAGTGCAGTTGACCCATTCCCCTACGAAAGGACGTCTCAGGTGCTTTCAAGTTTTGGCCATTAGGAATAAAGCTGCTATAAACATCCACGTGCACATTTTTGTGAGACACTTTTTATAAGCAGAGAAAAAGGTTTAGACCCCTCAGATGAAACCCTATTCTGGCGGAAAGGGAGGGCTGTCCCCTATAACAAAAGACAACATCAACCTTGTCGTTAAAGCACAGATTCAGGAACCAGACGGCCTGGGCTCAGATTCCAGCTCAGCCTTTTGCTGGCTTTAGTGAGCTTGGACAAGTTACGTCGCCCTCGATGCCTCCGTTTCCTCATCTGCACAGCGGGGATGCTAGCAATATCTTCCCCACAGGGTTGTTATAAGGATGACGTTGTTTAATGGATGCAGAACACGTAAAACAGCGTCTGCACACTGGCACAGGGTCAGCTCTACAGGAACTGTTTACTATTATTATTATTTTGTTATCGCTGTTGTTACTACTCTTCATTATCTCAGTGGTTCTGCATATGAGAACTGTGCCTGAGTTATCAGTTCAGGAAACCGTTGGATCCGAACTAGTTCATTCTTGCCACTTTCCGTTTGTAACTAGAAATATATTGAGCCTTATTTGTGTGCAGCACAGGGTAACCTGTAGTGGACAAGACTCTAGCTTGCAGGCTCGAGGGCCAGAGAAACAAGCAAACCGGTAGTTATAATAGAGCAGGGATATGAAAGGTAAGGACAAGGGAATACGTTGTAAGGATTGGGATGCTTTAGAATCTCCTTGAAGAGAGAACAAGCCAAACCTAGAGAAATCAAGGAAGGCTTCCTGATGGAGGTGACATCTGAGCTGGGACCCAATCACCGAGAGGCAGAGGAGGAGGAGGAGAAAGAGGAATATGTGTCAGGAGCAGAGTATAGTACCAAGCACCACTCATCACCTCACCTTCACTCTGACAATTACCCCATCACACAGATGAGAAAATTGAAGCTCGGGGGAGTTAAGTCATTTGGCCAAGACCACCTAGCTAGTAAAGGGCAAAGTTATGATTTTAACCCAGGGAGTGCAGAGAGAGAGTGTGGTAAGCTTGGGCCACTGAGCGGACATTCAGCAGACTGCCAACGACAGCACAAGGATGAGCTGGGAGGCTGGAGGCTGGAGAGGTGGACGGGGTCTCGTATGTGGCGGTGTGCTCATTTGCCCAGGCTGCCGTAACGGACTGGGGGCTTCCACAACAGCACTTTGTCGTCTCCCAGTTCTGGAGGCAGAAAGTCCAAGATCGAGGTGCCCACGGGGTTGGTTTCTTCTGAGGCCTCTCTCCTTGGCTTACAGACGGCCGTCTTCTTGCTGTGTCCTCACACGGCCTTTCGTCCATGCGCGCGCAACCCTGGTGTCTCTCTGCATGTCTAAATTTCCTCCTCCTGTAAGGACACAGTCAGACCCCCAACAGCTTCATTTTAACATAATCACCTCTTGAAAGGCCCCATACCCAAATACAGTCTCATGCTGAGGCACTGGAGGTTAGGACTTCAACACACGAATTTGGCGGGGAGAGACACAATGCAGCCCATAACAGATGGTTTAGGGAATTTGAAGATTTTAAGCAAGGGACAGATAGAGTCAGGTTTGCGCCTGTTCTTGTTACCTGTAGAAATGAATCTGATGCTCACATGTCCCACGTCACTCTCGTGACCAAGCAGACTCCATCTCACCCCTTGACTCGCCCCTCCCTCCCCGCCCCCACCCCACACAACCCAAAGCCCAGGCCTGCAGGGGCTCTGAGTTGTGAACAGAGGAGGAGAGCATCTCCCCAGGCCTTTCACAGCATCCTGGGGTTATGGTGACAGTGCAGGGGGTGTCATGGCACAGGGACAGGAACATGGCACAGCCAGCGGCTGCTCTTGGCAAAATGCTGGATGTGGCCCAGTGCCCAGAGCCACCAAATGCAGTTACCTCTAAGGACCAAGATGGTATTAAGGGGGAAGAGAGAGACAAGAACCAGAAGGGCTGTGGGCTTACAGGTCCTTTAAATGAGAATCGAGGGAATAGGTGCTTAGTGAATAATTTGTAGAAGGAAGGGGCTCCAGAGAAGGAAAAAGAGAGCTGCTGACTCTGATCTTCCTAAGACCTGGTGGACACGGCCACCACACTACATGGGGGTAGTTCCCCTTCAAGCTGAGGGACACTGATGCCTCTCCAGGGATTTCCTGGGATCCCCCTAGGTCAGCTCCACACTGGCGGCCCAGGCTGGGGCCCCACCTCTGAGGTGGTGCCTTCCAGGAAGCAGCAGGGTGGACCCCTTCCTGTCCCTGTGAGCATCAGGCCCAGGAGCCCTGGGGAGTATTGATCAGGATGCCGCTTCAGAGAAGAGCAATTACACAGGTTCGTAATGGAGGCAGCTCTCCCATTAGTGTAAGAGGAGAAATCATGTGGGGAGGGGGGGCTGGTCAGGACTCCACCTTGTTTCCAGGAAAAATGCAGGCAGCGCGTTAACCCTCTCCTGCCTTTGCTCTCGGGGTGACCGCTGTGTTGACTTCATCAGCATCTGGAACAATCAGCGCTCAGGCTCGTGAAAGCGCAGTCTCCGGGGTTAAACAGACTCAGGTTCAAATCCTCACTAATCCAAGCAGTGTGACCTCAGACAACTCACTTTACCTCTCTGAGCCTCAGGTCTCTCACCTGTAAAGTCCCCTCTTTATAGGGTTGATGGGAGCATTAAAAAAGATATTCAGCTCCCAACTCTATCACCAACAAGCTGCGTGACCTTGAGCAAAGTGATTGCACCTCTCTGAGCCTCATTTTCTTCTTCTCTAAAACGTGGGTAATGATTCAGACCCCAGCAGGTTGCTGGGAGAATTAAATCATGTGTGTAAAGTGCCCTAGTCAATGCCTGACTAATTGTAATACAAGACGCCCCCGCCCCAAATCAGCAAATATAGGTTAGACATATTTTTAAACAATGTTTTCGTTACGTTTTCAAATAATATGTTCAATGAGTTTTGCTTCAACATCCAGCTCCATTTGGGGACAAAGGATTTATGAATTTAAAGCATTGGTCCCAATTGTTAATCTGGGGGCGGGGGGGGAGTATAATAAATACGCTAGTTTCCCTGTGTCTCCTGACTCCTTCAGCACTCAGTGTATTTATTACACTTTTATTGGATGAACAGTTGGATGCCTCTAGGATATTAATTTCCCTCAATCCTCTCATTTGCCTGAGTCAAGACCTCTAGCCATGGGACCCCATCATCATCATTCTCTCCTACATGCAAAAACTCCCCATCATTGGCACAGGGTCATCTCATGTCAAATCATGGCTCTGCCACCTGCCAGCCTAATGACCTGGCACAAGCTCCCTAACTCCTCAGATTCCTCATCTGTAAAATGGGGCCAACGAATCTCTCACAGGCCTGTTGCAAAGTTTTTGCAAGATGATGTATAGGAAATACTTCCACACGCCTGGAGCATGGCAACGGCTCTCCAGCTGGGAACCAGTACAACTCCTGTCTCTAATGCCATTGTTGTGAAGAATTTGGTTCTGATAGGATCCCACTATGCTCCCTCTCTCTGTCTTCACAGGGAACCCCTCTTCCGCCAGCTCTGTGCCCTCCACTGGCTCCTGGAGGCCTTGACTATTGACCACACCCACCACACCATGAAGCCTGTGATCACCTGCTGGAATCCAAAGTAGGTCTCAGCCCTTCAACCCGCCGTAACTAGCCATCGACTGGGCAGTTCGGGAGGGCCTCCTCCATGTGCTCACCTTCCTTCTGCTGTTTTGGGTGGGTGGGTTGCTTTAAGAGTTCTTCTAACTCCCAACAGGGGGTGTGCTGGGATCCAAAGAGGGGTGTGCTGCAGCCAGGGCCTACAGTCGTGAGAGCTGACTGTGTGCATCTCCTCCCAACATCTGATCCCAACTCCACAGTCAGTGACATCACATCGGTAGCTTGAAATCAATCAGCCACGGTGAGACTGGCCAGCTAGACCAACACACCACTGTGTCCACAGCTAGATTTCCCTCCAACATCTTGGACCATGTCTCCCCAACACCATTCTTCGTTTGCTCCTCTTCCTTTTCCTCCTTCACCCCATTCCTTTAACCCTTCTCTGTCTTAGTTCTTGTTTTTCTCCTTTCTCTCAAGGTTTGTCTGTTTTAGTATATATTGTGACTATTTCTCCGCTTGCATGCAAGGGAATACTGAGTGTGCAGGTCCCTGGAGCAGCTGGGTTTTCTCAAGCCGAAGCTCTAGAACATGTTGTCTCAGCCAACAAAAGTGTTAGGTGTGTCCCCACCGGAGGGGAGGGCACATGCAAAAGCCTTGAGGCCACTGTTGCAGGAACTGCATTGCACACACAAGGCGGAACAAGAAACAAGGCAGGTAAGGCATTGGTTCCTTAAGGGGAGTCATGTTATCTGCAAGCATAGGGCAGAAAAGGTCAAGAACCCTGACTTGAAGAATTCCATTTGCTCTGTGAAAATCCCAGCCTGAGTCAAATCAAATGGTTCCCCTTCCCCTGTAAATGGAAACTCCCCACTGCCACCCAATAAACCATCACCATCCTTTCAGAGCCCTCCCTGCCTCGAAAGTGAATTCCATCGTCTTTCTCTCCCCAAATCCTGAATCTTAATTAACTCCTTCCTCCTGAGGACATTTGCCACCCCTCTCCCAAATTTGCCACCCCACCTCCCACCCTGATTCATCTCTGGCACCAGAGCCCAGAGAAACTAACCTCAAATGCAACCAGAAATATAAATTGTGCATCTATGGATAAACCGGTAAGTCCAATCGATTCCATGTTTTCGGTTGGGGTGAATTTAAAACTGTAGTCTTCTTTGATGCAGTTGTTCATAACCTTTATTTTTTTAAGCAGCAGCAATCTCTTTTTTTTTATGGAAACCCCAATAATGTAAAACTAAATTTTTCAAACTGGAGCTTCTATATGAAGCAGGAGGTTGGGTGGCCTGAGAAACCTGGGGCCCCTCCATGTCACTCCGATCCCCACCGAGGCACCCCACTTATTTCCAAAATATCTTTGTGGCTCACAGAACTTGTTTGAAAACCCACAGCCTTAAAACATTTCCCACGCATTATTTTTTTAAACAAAACTGCTCAAGTAGTAAATGAATACAATTTATTCCTACTAAAACTTTTCAGAAAATTCAGAAGTATATAAAGTATAAAGCCTTTATTCTCACCCACCCCCCAAATTCATTCCCTCCCGATAAAAACCTCTTTTAAAGGTCTGAGGCATGTCCTACCTCCTTCCAGACCTTTCTAAGGCCCTCCCTTTATAAATATATACAGATTTTTTTTTTTTACAGAAATGGGATCCTATTCTGTGTAGGGGAGGAGGACATTTCCTCTCCCCAAATGGGGGTTCGTCTAGCTGGAGAACGAATTAAATTCACATGAGACAGAATAGCAAGAGAAAATTAAACAAAGCTTTATGAGGAACCATGGCCCGGGGCCTTTCTTCCCGAAGGAAGAAAGGGCACTGAAGAAGTGGGGTGCACAGAGTGGTTATATAGCCCCAAACAGGGTGTTTCACATGTGATTGAAATGTCCCTCCCACAATAGTCACAAGATTGCCCTGTTGGCACAGTGCTTGATGAACACAGCAGGTAATGGTCTGCTATCTCGGTGGGCGTAGCAGGAGGCAAGTCTATGTCTGGAGCTGGGCGGTCACAGGTGAGCGCAGCAGCAATCGGTTCCTAGCCTAAGGAAAGATGTTTAATCCTTAAGGAATGCCAAAGTTGGGAGGGGGAGGGAAGTCAGTTACAGGAGGTTACCAGACTAGCACAATAAAATGCAGGTTTTAAGTCCTTGCCTTTGGTATTGATTAAGAGTTTTTAGAGAGAAGGTCATCTCCTTTCTTCTTCCTGGTACAGAGAAGGAGGCACCTTTTACAGATAGAGATTTACCTTACAAATGTAAACGTGTCCTAAGGAAGGGCAAGTTCCATTCCTCAGAGCCTCCTTCCCTGTCCCAGTTTATCAAAAGAAATCAGCCTCAAATAATCCTGATACCAAAGAGACATATCTTGGGGTGGCCAATTCCAGGTCCCCACATCTGCATATTATTTTCTGTGACTTTTTCCCCCTTTTGCAGTGTCTAGTGGATCTTTCCATGATGCTGCATACAAAGTTTCCACATTCTTTTAACGCTTTTCACACTCTTTTAAGGAAATACTTGTAGCGTATTCTATGGTGTAGATGGACCGTACCTTAGAAACCATTTCTTTATTGATGGACTCTAAGGTTGTTCCCAAGTTTTTGCCATTTCAAATACAGTCATGCGTCACTTAATGACGAGGATATGTTCTGAGAAGTGTGTCGTTAGGCAATTGCATGTTGCTCAAACATCATAGAGTGTACTGAAGGTGAACAAAATTTGCTACCCCAAAATGTGCGTCTCTAACGTGAGGATTATTTTAGGCTGATTATTTTTAAGAAACAAAAGACTCAGAAAGTTTTTCTTGTTACCTCCCCCTTACCTGCCTAAAAGATTTTAAATTTAAAAACTTGTCTCAGGAAGGGAGCTATCACCTTAGCATCACATGAACTGGGTGGTAGACAAGGAGGAAACTAGAAAAGCCTGCTTGTTGGGCCCCCTCTGTGTTCTTCTGTTTCTGTGTGGCCAAGCAAACGCTTGTTTTCCAAATGTTTGCTCTTTTCACCTACTTGTGAATTGCCTTCCTTCCCTTTGAAGTCCCTGACTGTCCCCACCCCCAACCTCTTCTTTTGTCTTTAGCGGAGGATGGTATTTAAGGTGAAGGCTTTGGCCATTTTGGTGAGTTACTGAGTTTTCCTGAGTTTCTCCCCCCTATACGTGTTATTAAATTTTTGTTCGTTTTTCTCCTGTTAATGTGTCTCAGGTCAATTTAATTCTTAGATCAGCCAGAAGAACCTAGAAGGGTAGAGGAAAACGTCTTCTTCCCCTACAGTAGCTACACAAACCTAGATGGCACAGCCTACTACACAGCTAGGCTCTATGGTACTAATCTTATGGGACCACCCTCGTATATGTGGCCTGTCGGTGACTGAAATGTCCTTATGCAGAGCATGACTGTAGTACTGCACGAAACACCCTTGTCCATCCATTTTGTGCCTGGTTGAAAATATTTCTGTTAGCTGTATTTCTGTTACCATTTCTGAGAAATGGAATTTCTGGGTCAGAGCAACATCTAATTCTTTTCACAGTCAGTTGCTCAGATGCTAAGAAAAAGGCCCCTGAGCCAATGGACTTCTAATAGCATTTCATCTCCCTGAGCAAGCTACCAGCAGCAACATCTTGCCTCTGAGCTTTGGGTACTTGTTCTCCCAAACCGAGGCAAGAACATAATGTGGAATTTGGATTGAGAAGACAAAGAGGACCATCTTTATTTCCTTTGCTTGGTTTTAGGAATAGGCCCAGAATGTGACCAAAAATTGTTCCCTGCAGTAAAAAGAGACATAGCGGTCACATGGAGAATAGCGGATGTTCTTACTAAGACTTCTCAAGACAGAATCCCATCCAGGATCTGAGGATGCCCAGCTCTGTAAGAGCAGATCCTGAACCAGAACCTCAGCCCGTTCTGACAGAAAAAAGCGGTCCAGGAGAGAGTCCCCCGGGAAGTCAGTCTTTGTTGGGTTTTTTTCTTCTCCAGGGAACCATCTGCTCCTGATGGTGGTTTTAGTGTGGGATCAGTGGTATGCTGGTAAATATTTAATAACCAGTTCTCCAGGTGGGATAACCTGTGATTTGCAGCAACGCCGATTTCTATGGTGTGAATACTCCCACCCTGGCTGATTTGAGGCTTATCAACATGATGTCACTGAACTTGGAGTTGGGAAGAGAAGTGTAAATTCAGTTCTTGCAAGCCAGCGTGAGCCAACTCTAGCACACCACTGTTCGGGATAGACAAAAAAATTTTATGAATCTGTGGGGTGGGGTGGGTAACAGTTTTAAGTACCCTAGAAAGTATCAGAAAGCATCTTTTTAGTTAGCAAGAAAGGAAAAGGATGCCTTCTCATTAATCCTTAATCCCTATTTATGTTGTTTCACCCTTGGGCCATGATGTGAATTTCCCCAAATCTTCAAACGCACTTTTTAAAGCACAAAGGAATTAAAGGGATTAAGAGCGAGGGCTTTGGCACCTGATGGATCTGGAGAAGTCCAGGCCCCTCCACTCAACAGCTATTTGACCTTGGGCAAAGTCACTTGACATCTCTGGGCCTGTTTCTTCATCTATCAAATGGGTTCCTGCCTCAGAAGAGATGTTGTAAGGATTAAGCAAGATAAAGCATGTAGAGCATTTAGCTTAATGTCTGAGAACACAATAAGTGCTCACTAAATGATAGCTATTCAAGATTGAAATCCCTATTTTAAAGAACAGTTAGCTCCATGACTATCAATGCCATTGAGACATAAGGCTAGGAAAGAAGTAAACTTCTGAGCAGAATTTTGCCAACAGATGAGATCCCTGTTCACTGGATGAATGGAGAAACATACAAACACACAGAAAAAAGGCTACACGAGGTCAACCAAAATCTGGTTGCAAAGATAAACAATCCAGGGAATGACCCCAAGAGAGAAATCCCAAATCTTCCATTCTTCTAACTGTGGTTTTCTGAGTTTCCACCATCAAGCAGCCAGGATCTCCTGTTATTAAAGCAGTGGAGCCTTGACACCTACCATGCATTTTCC